GCAGCAGCAGCGAGGGGGTGTTGCTTCCATGTCCCACACACTCCTCCTTCTGTGTGCTATGTGCTGGGTCCCGGGTGTGCTGTGTCTGCTGTGTGTTGCCAAGATCGCAGGTGATGTGTGCCCCTCCTGTGCCCCTTTTATCTCGAATGGGTAGTCTTTCTGTGTGTGTATTTATTTTGTTTTCTTTCGAATTGCTTCATTATTTCTTCGGTTTCTAGGCTACGTGTTGGGGAGAGAGACGCACGAAACGCTCATCGTCTCTCCGGCCGCGTTAGCTGCAAAGGCCGGCGTCAACTCTTACAAATCCATCTCTCTCCCCACAAATACTAGCCGGGGGCTTACGACTGCAAACGCAGGAGTCCCAAAAACTGACCAAGTCCTCAAATGGTAGACACCATTCTACAACACCTGACTAGATACCGAATATTCCCGAACTTATGCCCCCACCTTCGAAAGAAAAGGGATGGGAGGGCGGGATTTTCTAAACTGCCGCCGCTACTGCGTAAGGCGGCTGCTGCTGTCCTTCCGTTGCCTCACGCGCTCTGTAGCTGTCACACGTTACCCGACTTCGCTACAGCCCCTGCGTGGACTCGATCACGGAATGACACCCCCAACTATAGAGTAATAATTCCAAACGCCGTGACCCTGGGTTTCCGGTAGAAAATGAAGCCAAATTCTAATTCGACTGTTACAAAATAAACACCAGTTTATTCTATCTGCTTCGACGAACAAACCTTCCTTTTATTTTGTTTTCTTTCGAATTGCTTCAATATTTCTTCGGTTTCTAGGCTACGTGTTGGGGAGAGAGACGCACGAAACGCTCATCGTCTCTCCGGCCGCGTTAGCTGCAAAGGCCGGCGTCAACTCTTACAAATCCATCTCTCTCCCCACAAATACTAGCCGGGGGCTTACGACTGCAAACGCAGGAGTCCCAAAAACTGACCAAGTACTCAAATGGTAGACACCATTCTACAACACCCACATCGAGGTCAGTTTCTGGACGACTACCGAATAAGTCAACTATCCGTTCCCCCAGACGGTCCCCTCCCCCGGCTGTCTCGATACGATCCTACTGCCGTCTGTAAGTTTCCGTGACACTCGCCGCGAATCCTCTACATTGTTTCGCGCGTACGGCTTGTATGCATCCGACCTCCACTTCCCTTCTCTCTGAATCACTCGTTCTGCGATGTCTCCGCCCGATGCAAGAGCCGTCGCGCCTCCAATTCGCAACGAGTGCAACGCGTACTCCTGGGGGTTACGCCCCGACTTCGCAACCACTTCTCTGACTGCACGGAGGGCAGCACTATACCTCGCTACTCTCACAGCTCTTCCACTACGGTACGAAGCTAGCGGTGCGGAGTCAGGCAACGTCGCATGACACGATAACAGCTCCACCACAAGAGCCACCGCGCCGCCGCGTGCTCTCACACCTGACTGCGGTCCGGTGACTTCGTCTCGCGTACGAACCCGTATGTTTCCTTTCTGCTCTTGATCGGCCTTGTGCCCTCTAAACCTCATTTCGACACGGTCTGCTCGACGATATTGACTAAAGACTAATTGCGTCTCGCCAGCAAACAATGCTACATCCGCCCGCGTAAGACAGTGTGCCTCATGCACCCTGCCCGCATCGTTCGCGAACACCTCATCAGACCGTGTGATGAAGAGATAGGACAAGCACAGACACAGCCACATCACTCTGCCCCCTTCCCCCCAGTTCTGGCTTGCGCTTTCCCCGTCCAGCAGCATACGCCAAGACACAGGCAGACGCACACGGCGTACCGTCCCCATAGCCACGTGGTTCCTCGCAATCCCCCTTAGCGCACATTTCAACATCGGAGACGACAAGTCGAGCTCGACAGAAGCTTCCAGCCTATGAAAATGTTGTACAGCCGTGAGTTTTCCGGATATTGTACTCGCTAGATTACCCTCAGACTCGAAACACCAGGCTACGAAGTCTATCAACTCCCAGACATGAAGGTCCCCGGCACGTTGCCCTAGGAACTTGGGCTTCTCCGTCAGCCTCCGAAACGTGCACCAAGAGTTGAAGCCTGACGTGTAAGTCCTTCTAGACGAAGACGCAACTGAGTGCTCGACGAGCTGCATGCCAAGACGTCGGTAACAAAGTCCCGTCCTGCCTGTCCCAGGTCCTGAACCTGCCAGTCGATATCCGGTCGGAACGCGCGCAAGTTTGAGGCAATGCTATCGTGGTTCCACCGAGAGATGCCGTCTGCCAGTGTATTAGAGATGCCTTTCACGTGACGCGCGCGGAAACACCACCCGCTTCGCATCTCTAAACATCCTAGAATACGCATTAGCGCTCCCGACCTCGGCTCTCTAGGTCCCCTGCAACGGTTACACCAATGGATGGAGCTCATGTTGTCTCCACGAAGCAAAACGCTTTGACCAGGATACTCGGGTGTAGAGTCTGCGTCTACCGTGAAAGCCCACGCTGTAACGACCATCCCCAACAGCTCGAGGACGTTGATGCTTAAGTCGTCTCTACCGACTGCCTTGCGACGCAGCCGTTGTCGGACATCATCCGAGAAATCCATTCGCCAGTATTGCCCCGATTCTAAGCAGTATCCTCCCATGGCGTCCCCACTCGCGTCACCCCACAGCGTTCGAGAGTGAGGTTGCAGATACATGCTGTAAAGCGGCATCTCTAGCCTACCCTCGCCGTGAAGGCCGCTGGCCTCTGCTAGCATCATACGCCAGAACGACGCGTCGGCGCGGAACTCGGGACCCAGAGAAATGACCCGTTTCGATGGGCCCTGGCGTACTCCCCCCTTCGAGCCGATGTACTTCTCTTCCCACGGTTGGGAGGGGGGCATACCCAACTGGTTGAGCATGCGTCGCACAAAGAACTTTCCAGGGCGAACAACCACACACACGTGCAACAGCTTCCCCATCAGCGACCGCACTTCGGTCTCCGACGCGCTACGACGAACTACCCATCCTTCAAGCGCCTCACGCAACGTCGCTAACTTTTGTTGAGGAAGAGAAATCGACATAGCCTTCGTGTCTATTACCCAACCCAACACTTCCATGCTCGCCTCCCACGACGTAAGTTTGCTAGCTGAAAATAGTGGTGGGAAACCGTGGGGTCTGTCACCGAAGAGTCGAAAGTGGTCAGAAACGAGAGATTCGGAAGAGATCACACAACGGTCACCGCGGGGGTGGGACCAGTGCACTTCTACCCCTATAACATCGTCCACATACGCCCGCGCGAAAAACGGGTCGTCTACTCCTCCACCGGAACCGGGTGGGATTGCACACGCCGCTGGCAGCATCGTTTGAACTTCTGCTGATTCCACCACCGAAATATGTGCGGTAGCAAGCCGCCCTTGCGGCGTCGGCGTTGCGTTTGCGGCTGATGTTTTGTTGTGGGAGTGCTCAATCGCTGCTGTGCACAGGCAAAAATACGGGGGGCTGAGGTTCCATCCAAACTGCAGTTGCCTGTCTACAACGAGCGTGCCTCCAAACACGTATCCGAACTTCGGGGAGTGCGCTCGCTCTACGGATACTTGCCGAAACGCGTCTTTGGAATCGACTTTAGCAATCAGAATTGTGGGGGTGTCTCCATGGGCGTCACGCACAAACTTTCCATGCAGGTACAACACGCGCCAAACTACATCACGCAATACGTGGCCCAGTTTGCAGACCGGTGCCACGGAAGTGTTGGTATCGTCGTTTACACCCGAAAATCGGAGATCGTTGATGATCCTAGCTTTCTTGGTGTTCACTACTACTCCCAATGGAGACAAGCGTAGGCCGGGAATCTGGTATGCCGCTGATCTGGGAAACACGAATGCACGCCCGTACCGGACGTCCTCCTTGATTTTTTTCTGAATGAGGTCCGTATGCTGTGAAACAGATGCATGGTTACCGTACGCGAGAGCTTCATCTACGTCACCGCCTGCTGCTATCTGCACCGGGACACCTCTAGACACAATCCGCACCAGAAGATCGATGGAGGGGAACTGTTTTAACCCACCAAACCATTGACGCACGCTACGTGGGTCTGCTTGCGGCACGGGCAGTATTGTTTCGAGTTGCGACATGGAATCGAAGTCCCCTGCATGACTAAGAAGGAAAGCAAGGCTAACGTCCTCTACGCGACTCAACGCTTTCCTCGCTGATTCGCCCCCCCTCGCGGCAATTAGTTCGTCCACCGCATGTCCATAAACACACACGTCGGCATCCACACCTGCTGATAGCCCTGGGGCCAACCTCGTGTAGACCGGCGTGCTGCCGTTCAATTTAGCAGCATGTGCGCTGCCATCCGAGGTAGGCCCCCCCGCCACGCGGGAGAGCCCGCACCCCTATTGTCTTTCCCGTGGGTGAAGAAGTCAGCGGCCTTGGGTCTCGCGCCGCCCTCGCCAGCGGCGCGCGCCTCTCCTCCGCGCCCTCCCCCGTTGCCGTGGCCAACGCTGCGACCGCGGTGCTTGTCGCTCGTGGCGCTCCCGCCGACACCGCCCCGGCCGACACGAAACGTCACGCTGCTGGCTGCCCTCCCGCGCGCGCCGGTTGCCGGAGTTTCGGACGCTCCGCGCCTAGCGTGGGAAGGGTTCTGGGCATGGATGTACGGGCAGTTACGATCATGGCAACCGGACGACGAGTTGAAGGCGAAGCAGTAACCACGCGATCTTCCGGAAGTGGTCCCCCGGGCTCGCTTGGACGGCGATAGGAGCTGTTCTCCTGCCCGTATCTGAGGCTGGTAGAAGGCGGCGGCGCCGACCCCGCCCATGGCGATGAAGCCAGTAATCCTCTTCCACTCGATGGTTACCACGGGCGGAAAATCCTCGATGACAGTCGGCGGCGCAGAGTTTGTTGTCTTGAAACTGATGGCGGCGTCAAACCACCGCGATGCGAACAGGATTAGGTCGTCGTTGATGAATCCCGCGAACCGGAGTTTGTTCGCGGGATTCCGCATCTCGCCGCGGTTTTCACGACAGTGCTCGGTGACCATCTCCAAGCCGACGTTGAGGGACTCCTCGAGGATGCCCACGCGCTGGAGACTCTCAGAATCGGTAATGCCTGTTTTGAGCAACGCCGATATGGTCGTGATGAGGATCGAGAGCGACTCTTCCAACGGAACGTCGGCGTTAGGCGTGTCAGATCCCGAACGGTAGTCTTCCACCCGGAAGTTTGAGAGCGTGTCGAGCGATGCCGCCACTTTCTCTGTCACCAGAACGCCTTTGCGAAGCAAGGATTGCCACTCCATCTGCGACAGTTTTGAAACTGCCGGAGGCCGTCCCAGGATGAGCCACGCTTTTACCCGGCGGAGGTCCCCCCACATCCGCGCTCTATCCTTTGCCGCAGCTTTAGCCGCCTCGGCGCTGGGTGTAGCGGGGGCCCGAGAGGCCGGTAGTGGGGCGGTTGTGCCCACCAGTTGCACCTCCCCCTGAAGACCAGGTCCTGCTGCTTGGGTGGCGATCAGGTCGTCGATCGTTGCTTGAAGCTGCTGGCGATCGCCGGCAGCCTCATCGCGCTTCCGCTGCAGCTCCTCCCTCAGGCCGTCCACCAGCCCGCGGAGAGAAGCGAGCTCAGTCTCATCAGCGGGGGGGTCGCCGCGGGTGCCTGTCCCTCGCGCTCGCGAGGAGGATACCGCTCGACGCCTCGCGGGAGTACGTGATCCGCTGCGCGTCGAGGGGCGAGCCGTCGAGCTCGCCACCGATCGCGTGGTAGACCTCCTCGTGCGTGGTGTCGAGGGTGTCGCCGGCCGACCTCGCCCTGCTTGCCCAGCCGCTGCCCTGCCGCTCCGCGTGGAGGCCCGTGTCGGCATCTGGTCGCGGTTGGAGTCGTATAAGCAGCGAACCGGCGGCAGGCGGCGGGCGAACGTCAGGGCGGCGTTTCGGGAACACTTCTTTTCCTCTTCATCGTGGGCGTAGTCGATCGCGCGCCTGGATCTGCAGTTAGAATGGTCTACAAATCCTATCTTCGGGCGAAACTATCTGACGAGGCTTTTCGTCGGGCCCAGAACGACGCGTTGTTATATCGCGAGCTTGCGTTAGTTCGTTCTCGACGCCTGTGGATTGAGTGGAGTGATTATTGCTGCTGACGCTACGGTCACCGTACGTCGACCAATCCCGAATATTTCTCTCGTTGGAACACTAGCGATGTTTTTATTTTATTTTATTTTTTTTATATATATATATTTTCTTGGATTCGGTGAACCCCGGTTCGCCATCGACACGGGTGCTTCCACTCATTGGCGCGTCCCGTGCTAATACGTGTTTTTATTCTTTTCTTCGATGCGTTGGATACGGTAAACTCCACTTGCCAACAGCGCGGGTGCTTCCACTCATTGGCGCGTCCCTCGCTGAAACTGACAACACATATGCAGCACGGGTGCTTCCACTCATTGGCGCGTCCCGTACTGATACTTATACGCAGCGCGGGTGCTTCCACTCATTGGCGCGTCCCTTGCTGAAACTGACAACGCATATGCAGCACGGGTGCTTCCACTCATTGGCGCGTCCCGTACTGATACTTATACGCAGCGCGGGTGCTTCCACTCATTGGCGCGTCCCTCGCTGAAACTGACAACGCATATGCAGCACGGGTGCTTCCACTCATTGGCGCGTCCCGTACTGATACTTATACGCAGCGCGGGTGCTTCCACTCATTGGCGCGTCCCTTGCTGAAACTGACAACGCATATGCAGCACGGGTGCTTCCACTCATTGGCGCGTCCCGTACTGATACGTGTACGAATTCGTTTTCGATGCGTGGAAATCGGTTAATTCTACTCGCCAACAGCACGGGTGCGTCCACTCCTTGGCGCGTCCCGTGCTGATACGTGTACGGCTTTTTTTTTTCTTTCTTGTTGAGATCGGTTAACTCTACTCGCCAACAGCACGAGTGCTTCCACTCGTTGGCGCGTCCCATGCTGAGGCTGACATCACATATGCAGCACGGGTGCTTCCACTCATTGGCGCGTCCCGTACTGATGCGTGATTTGTGGTATTTTTCTACCGCTGCGTTGAATTCGGTTAACTCTATTCGCCAACAGCGCGGATGCTTCCATTCGTTGGCACGTCCCGTGCTGAGGCTGCCAGCACACATGCAACGCCATGCGGTCAGCTCTACTCGCCAACAGCGCGGGTGCTTCCACTTATTGGCGCGTCCCGCGCTGATACATGTATAACTTCGTGTTTCGGTGCGTTGAGATCGGTTAACTTCCACTCAACATGGACGAGTGCTTCCACTATTGGCGCGTCCGTGCTGGTGCGTATCCGTCTTTTTTTTTCTCATTGAGATCACTTCCGCATAGACAATCCTACGGCAGGTTGACGAGTTCTGGCATGCATCAATTGCTGTCCGGGCGTTTTTGGAACGGTCGCTTAATCGTCGTTGGATGTGACGTATTGTTATAGAACGTTTGTGTCACGGCATGTGCGCGCACGACTTGATGCCCCTCGAGACCTTGGTACACCCAGATTGACCTTTGAATGACGGCCTTCGCGGGTTCGAACGTCGCGGTCATTTTCTTCTCGCCCCTTTTTTTTTTTCATCTTCTTTTTCCTCATGCATACAGCACGTAGTTCGCTGTCTCGTTTTTTTTTTTCTCGTCTTCTTTGTTTTTCAGTATTTTTCTTTGAGTCTTTCTCTCGCATGCATGTGGTTTTTGCTTTTATCCGTTCCCGTGAGTGCTGTTGAATGCACTTTCCGATTACGTATGCGGCCGCTTTGTATACCGTGGGACTTGTCAATACCATCAGTGGGGACTTGTCAATACCATCCGTTGAGACGATTGCTCACGTGAGTGAGCATATTATCGTGGGTTCCTTCAGCTATATGCCCCTCTGTGCGTGGCACCGATAAGGTTGTACCGGCAAGTAGTCCCAAGCCGGGGAAAACAGAAAAAACAAGGCACCTGCCTCATGTGCATACTCTTGACATGCCCTACTGCCGCGGGTCGATTGGTTAGGTCCGAAGCCGCAAGATTCCTCCACCCCGTGCAGTACAATGGCTGCTATCGTGGCACGTACAGCAACCGCGACAAGTCAGCGTGCGACCATACAACAGGCCCCGCGCTTTCTTTTTTCCGTTGAATTTTTTCTTCAGCGAGAGTACGTCTCGATTGGGATGAACCGCATCCCATGTTTGGGGAGGTACCTATCTGAGCGGCGTGGCGAGCGAGACTGCGGTGGCTTGCCGTCGCTTATCTTACTGCACCCTCCCCCCTCGTGCTAAATGCACGCAGCGGTAAGGTCACAAGAGTAGCGGGACGCGAATAGGAACACGGCCGACACGATGGATGTTGGACACGCGTACACACCTTTATATGGAGAGTCGCGTGCTGGTCGCTTCCCCAATGCTTGCGCCGTGTCCCGTCCCGCCCTTTTCTAAACTGCCGCCGCTACTGCGTAAGGCGGCTGCTGCTGTCCTTCCGTTGCCTCACGCGCTCTGTAGCTGTCACACGTTACCCGACTTCGCTACAGCCCCTGCGTGGACTCGATCACGGAATGACACCCCCAACTATAGAGTAATAATTCCAAACGCCGTGACCCTGGGTTTCCGGTAGAAAATGAAGCCAAATTCTAATTCGACTGTTACAAAATAAACACCAGTTTATTCTATCTGCTTCGACGAACAAACCTTCCTTTTATTTTTCCTTCAATGCGTCCCGCTCCCGACGTTAACGATCAGGTTTAATTCTAGTACAAAAAAAACGTGTCCCGCTAGCGACGGCGGGGTTCCGACCCTAAAACACCGCATTGTGTTATCTACGCGAGGCATTAAAAAAAGTGGAAATAAGCGTTTGCTTCGGAACCTCTGTCTCTCTCGATGCTCTATGTTCCCTTGGGCAAGAAAGCTTATAGCGCTGAAACTCGTCCTACAGCTTGTGCTGAAGAAGCTTGCCTCCGCAAGACGACTTGTTGGCTTGCTTCTGGTTGCTTTTTCCGTTGACGAGCATATATTCATGCCGGCGAGGGATATTTGTTGTGCGTCACGCCCACAGCCGCCACCAACAGCAGTAGTACGTGCACAACAGCAGTTTTTTCACACCTTGCTCCGCGTACGTAGACTACTACTGTAACATCAATATTTACATGGTCGAGGCAGCAGCAACAGTAGCCAAGCAGCAGCGGTAGCTAAACCGGCGCAGGAAGCAAACAGGATATCTTTGTAGTCGTGCGATTCGTTGTTTAACATAGGCCGCCTCTGTAGAGTCAAAATCTCGATTCACCGCATGAGAGGGTAACGTTCCAATATAAATCTAACATCGGTGTACTCGAATTGCCCGCCCGCGTTGACGCGAAGGAGGTTAAGCTGTTAAAGAGGAAGAAGGGGGAGGCGAAAAGCGCAGCGGTTGCGCCCCGGAAGGTGAGTCTTTGGAGCTAGTACGCTCTGTCGGGTCATGCCGCCATATCATTTGCCCTAACCCTAGCTGAACGCCACGAGTCCAACCTACATTTTGGGAACGTACTGTGAACGGGAAAACGCGCACAACACTCCTACTGAACATCATTAGCGTACCGCCAAGGGGGCTGGCTATACTTGCGTGAGTCAGCCAGTTGCCGCACCCTACCTACCTTACCTGAGAAAGGTGGTGCCACAAATCAAGCTGTAGGCCGCTGGTCGCCGTCGCCCTCTGTTCGTCTTGCGCAACGTATGTTCAAGGAGGGAGGCGCCCCCCTGTGTGCCCCCCTCCTAAACCCCGGGAGTTGCCGAATGTAGGGAAACCCACGGTCGACCATCGTGCATGTACACTCGCCTTAACTTCGCTGTTTTTGTTTTTTTCTAACGGCGCCGACGCTTCCAAACGATACTTCTACGTGATGTTGTTCCTTGATACTCGTCGTGGCCTCGGTATTACGCCCGCACAACGAAGGAGGCGCCTGCCCCAACTGCGGCCCTTCACAAGAACGACAAGAACGAAAAGGTAATGGTTGTGAGTTGTTGGTTTCGCCTTGGTCCTTCCTTAACGCTTCGATGGGCGCGTCCGAATGATGCTGCCGGCTGAGAAATAAATGACCGAAGCACAAACCTAAGTACAAGAAAATGCCAATATGTTCCCTATCTGTATCCTCGACATTGACTCGCCCGTCGTTACTCGTCTTCCGTCTGGCAGGCGCCTCCCGGCACGAAGAAGCCAGCCGCAACACTCGACCCACCTGCGGCGAAGAGCAAGAAAAGCTTGAACAAGGTATTGGGGGAGATGTGTCGTATTCGCCATGACATTGATCTCTCTTCTGTGCTTCCGTTCTCGCGTTCGAATCATGCCCTAGATCAAGAACTGAACAGCCGCAGCACGTACTCAACTCGAAGATACATTGTTCATGCCGTTCTCTTCAGGATGATTTACCTTGCCGCTCGTTGTTTCTCGTCTTCGTCCTGCAGGCAGGCCCCGGCAACAAGCAGCCAGCCGGGAGGGCTGACCCCGCCGCGTCGACCTGGACCCATGCGAGAACGATCAGGTAACCCCCCGAGATTGTCGTGTTAGAGTCGTTGCTCCGGTTAAAGAGAGTGGCGTGACCAAGGTCCTCCATCCTCATATATCGGAACCCCTGGCATGTCGGTTGTAAGAGAGTTCCGTCAGATGTCGTGGCAATCTGTGGTAGGGTAAATCTCTTACACAGTGGAGATCGGGAAAAACGACACACACAGTATTCTTGACTACAGCCCAGCAATCCATACACGACGTACTACATCTATGGACGGACTTGTGGTGGACCGTGTAGCGTGGGGTCAGCCGCTTGCCCGATATGGCATGCCCAGAGCAACTAAGGTGTAGGGGTCGCCACGGTGACGCCTTCATCTTTGATGTTCTGTTTATGTTATGGGGTGTCAACCTGGATGAAAATTGCCTCGCAGCCAAGCTGACACGGCGATTGATGCTAGGAGGCGAGGTACATTCATGTGGTCCATGCTTTTGGTACGCATGCCAAGCTATACAACACGATAGTACAAGGACACGACCACCTCTCCGACCAGGAGCTATCTAACGGTTCTATTGCCCACCACGAAACGTGTACTTCAGCCTGCCGCAAACCATACGTAGCCTGCGACTTCTACTGATGCAATGCGATAGTGTTGAAAGCACACGCATTGCCTGAATTTATGAATGCTCCCCACGTCTGCCTGCAGATTATTTTGGTGTGGTATATATTATACCCTTCCTGATACCATCGACACCGCTGGCCACCGAGAATGCGACGGCACACGTGACATGCACATACACGTGTCCGTTTCTGAGTGCTTTCATATCCTTTCATCCTCCTCGCACTTACCACCATTTCCAATGAAATTCCACAACTTTTTTTGGGCACCTCCGTCTATGTTACAGTCTCTTCCTGAGTGCGCCTACTTTATCGGGTCGAGTCCGCGACAACCAATTTCGACCATCCATGTCGGAGCCTCCTCGTCAGGAGTACCATCTTCTTACGAAGCCACGACTGCCATTGGCTGAATAACGCAATCCGCCTTGAACCCGCGCCCGAATTGCGTCAACACGCGTATCGTCCACGCCTTCAGACACGCACAAGTTCACATCCCTAACCCTGAGATTTTTCTTTCGGCAGGCTAGTAAGGATCCTGTGTCGGCGAGCCCGTCGAACAAGTCTGGACGCGAGGAAAAGAAGACGCGTGATGACACGACTCCCGCGGTGAGATTATCCCATCTGATGTTTCTCACCGCACTCATGAGCCTTTTCGGTGGCCCCGCCGACATGAATATCAGGGGACGAGACGGTGTGTGACGAAACACCTTTGGTGACAATACGCTTATTATATAACGCTGTTGTCCATTGGAGAGATTGTGGGGTGAACATGTTCGGCACTTTTGCCGGCTAACGGTCTTCCAAAGATGGAGTCGGCGTATTCCGTGCACTTCATTGTGTGGAATGGAGCTAAATGGCAGTCTCAGCGTGAGGTTTTCCCTAGGCAACAGAGCGAATAGCACGTAGAGGATACTGCCACGAAAACACCCAACCCACAAGCGTTCGTTTCATGCACCTCTTACCTCTCACGTGACTTGGTCCTTGAGAAGCGCAATATGTCCGTACGACAAGGGCGTCGTCCGATGTTTCTTCCCAACGATTTTCCACCCCGCATCTATGTTCGGCTCCCGCCTGACCGGTGGTAACAAACGGAATCTACTTTCGCACCGACACAGGAAGACCTGCGAGACGTTGCACAGATATCAGACACTACCTCCATATCCGTGGACACCGTATTGGCTACGTCCTAACCGATCCTTGCCGCAATGTTACCCGCCCAGGTTTGCAGGCCAACCGCCTCACGGCTTCGGAAAACTCTTTCCTGAAGAAACTCCTCGCCAAACAGGACGGGGTCGAGGAAGATGATGACGAGTCCGTTGACGACCTCCAGGACGCGCGCTCCGAGCCACATGGTAAGAACGTTGTCCTCGTCGTCAAGGGCTCCATCGCTGACCTGATGCAAACGTTTTGGTATTCTCCTCTCACCGTAGGCGTAGACCGCAGATGAACGATCGAACCACGGGGCTGGCACATGCAAGATCGTCTCGGGGTGTTTATGGAGAGCGTATCCGTCGGGCACCCATCATCGATAATGCAAACCTGCCTTGTCCGTACCGATCTTCTCATGGTGACCTAATATTTCTGCATTTACTTCATGCTACCGCGGACGTCATCGTTGTCTTGCAGATGACCTCGAAAACGACGACTCCCAAGGCGCCGGCGATGGCGAAGCTGACGAAGGTGAAGATCGCCCCCTTGACCACTTTCGGGCCTGCGTCGCTGCCGCGCTGCCCTGTAGAAAAATCCTCTCTGAAGGTGATGCGGGAATGGCGCGCGGCACTGCATCGTCTACGCCTAACCCGCATCGAGGGCGTCAACGCCGCCATCACTACCATCCAAAATGACTCTAAGGACAGGGACGGCAACGTCGTCAAGGCACTCGTGGGGAACCCCATGCCGACGGCCAAAAGGTACGTGGGAGGCTCATAAATTGATGGGCATTCATGGATTTGTGTACAAACCCCTGCACTTGGGGTAGTCTTGCGAAAACAACGACAGACGTCTCCACGTCCTCGCCCACGATTTCCCGTCCTCGTTCCTGTGCGCTTGGACTTGTACGGTTGGCTGGTTGATTAACCTCGACATGCTACCCGTGCTACCTTGTCCTGCTTCCTTACCATGTCGTGATCCTCGCAGGTGGCTCTTTCAGCTCGCGGCAGTGGATGTCTGCCACGACGGCACCTGCTGCCCCGAAACCAAGCTCCTCAAGGATGCCGTCAAGACGCACCCTATCGAGGCGGACGACACGGAGACACCCGTCGCTAGCGCCAAGCCCACCAACGCTAAGCGGAAAGGTGGCAAGACCAAACGTAAACGCTCCAAGTGATTGCGCGTTGACAACGTTCAGTCTCGTACCCCCAGCCTATTCGTGCATTTCAGCGGGGGGGTTGTCGGAGACCTAGGGGGGGTAGCAGCCCTGGACCAGTTCTAGCGGGCGGTGTTATCGGGTTGAATCCTGGCGACAGCGAGTTTTTAGGGCGAAAAGCAAGTTTTTCTCTCGCGTTCAGTCCTTGGCGTGAAACCCCATGCACGGCTCGAAACACTATTTTGCCAGCTTCCATGGAAGTAACCTCCACTTCCATGACTTGGGTAGAATGAGCCCAAGCGCCCCCCTCACTTCCACGGATGGCGTTTCACCCTACACTATTGTACAAATGACCTTCTTGACAGCTTCCATGGAAGTAACCTCCATGGCGCCCCCCTCACTTCCACGGATGGCGTTTCACCCTACACTATTGTACAAATGACCCTCTTGCCAGCTTCCATGGAAGTAACCTCCACTTCCACGGATGGCGTTTCACCCTACACTATTGTACAAATGACCCTCTTGACAGCTTCCATGGAAATAACCTCCACTTCCACGGATGGCGTTTCACCCTACACTATTGTACAAATGACCCTCTTGACAGCTTCCATGGAGGAGGTCAACCTCACTTTCACGACTTCCGTACTATGAACTATAGCACTTCCTCCACTTCTATCAAGTGTGTCTCACGCTACTTTCGCCGACGAGTGATGTACCCCGTCAGCTCTCGTGGAACTCAACTTCACTTTCACAACTTCCGTATATTGAACCCAACCGCTTGCTGCGCGACTTCCACCAATGGGTTTTAGAGTGCCTCAATAGGGGGTCGGAACCGCGCGTGACCACACAGCAGATTGCAGCTATTGCAGCTGCAGAACCCAACCTCAGGAGACTACACAAGCTCAGCGGGCACAGCGACAAACACACAGCGGGCAGACAGCGGGCAGAGGCGCAAACAGACTCACTTTTTGCGCAGACAAACGCGCGGAGAGAGGGAGTCCCTAAGCAGCCCATAGTTTCACAGGGCGAGAGCTGCTGGTGGTCGTCAGAGGGAGACCGATAGATCACGGGCAGAAATGTGCGTTGGTGTGTGAGTGACGTCATATCCATGCGTGCGACATTTGCGCCGACGAGTTATTGGGGTCGACAGTAGCCCGTGCCTTCCCCCCCCGAAATCCACCAATCCTCCACCCCTACCTCGATCTTTGCCGATCACACCATTTTCTGCTACCCTACGAGAGGGCGTAATTCGTCATCTGCTACCGACGGTCTTCCAGTCGCTCGCCCTTCAACCGGCCTACCCTCATGCGAACGAAACCGCGGCCCAGTCTACTTCACCCATCTCGGTGAAGCCGCGGGGATGCAGCGGACTGCCGGGGGTCCTCTTCTTCGTGTATCCTTCGTCCACGTCCCACTGGTAGGACATGATCACCTCCACACCGATGAAGCTCTATTGCTGATCTACACACACACGGGGAAGAAAGGAGGACGAAGACGACGATGTACGAGGAAAACATGAAGGAGTGGAAGAGAGCAGGGGGTTTGAGCCACATGACCTTCCCCAGAACAAAACACGTAGGGCTAGGGAAGAACTGTCAAGATATTGTTCTCGAAATGATGATCGGAATGATGGTAGAGAAGACAAGGAGGCTTAAACCCTAAGGTGAAAGGTTTCCTAAACGCCCTCGAGATCAAGGTAATAGCCTTGATAGACGCGTGCAGTATATTCTGTTGCTACCGTTTCTGTCTTTGATACGAAGGATAGTAGTTTAGCCTCCCCCCTACGGGGTCCCAGTAAATGTCCTTCTGAAGTGTTTTGTGTTTTTAAGACGCACCGAAACTGACGTCTTCTCATTGATCAGCCGGTGAGAGCGGTCGATGCTAATAATAACAACACATACATACTATACACACGCAGGGTCCCAAGTGAGATCATTTTATTCCACGGAATATACAAAAAGGCATGCGTTTATGGAAGATATAATGCGGAAGACTTCATCCACGGAAAACCTGCCCCTCGTTGTAGATGATTTTTTCACGAACGAACGCTGTAACATAACGAAATGCTTACTCCAGGGAAGTGAACAAGGTCATGTAACGATCTTCCTTTCTTTGACTTAGGATTGGAAGTCCACTATTACGATTATTACGATGCCGCCCGTGGGAGCCGTGGTTCATGTCGTTGTAAACGTCTGACACAATGGTCAGAGATTGATGGTAGAATATGAGAGTGAGGGAGACAGGCGCCTGGACCAGCTCTCGAACACAATTCCTACTGTTGGGGACCCCAAATGGTCGACCGCCTACCTTGGGGTTTCACCGATGACTATTATTCTGACCGTTCGCTGACAGCCCTGTACGGGAGCGTGTCATACGGCGTGTGGTATCTGCCCTACATACAACTCCAAGCGTCTGCTAGTTAGGTGGATGCTGATACCTTGTACCGTGCACACACAAAATTCATGTCGTAACTAGGGGACTACTAAAGTTGGCTGCAGCGCTTCCGTCGTGATAGATCTTCGCTACTGTACACACACACACATGGACACGTAGACATCACACATGGACACACACGTAGATATCCCTGACACACAATGCTTCCATGGATGGAGGAAGCTGGAAAACTCGTCATGAACACGACATGTTCCGTGGAAACGGCACGAACAAAAGCTTCCATTTAAGTCCTTCAAAGGGTTGAGAGCGACTTCCATGGAAGCTCGGAGGGCAGGATATACTTCCTTCCATGGAAGGAAGCTGTATGTTATAGATTTCATGGAAGTCCCTAGCGTGTACTTCCATGGAAGCTTTGGTGTTGTGGACCACTTCCATGGAAGCTTATTCTCGCAGCTTCCATGCAACTCTTCGTCGACAGATTCCATGGAAGCTGGAATGCTTCCATGGAAGCTGGGGTGAACGCATGTCCAGACCCTTCCATGGAAGTAGCTTCCATGGAAGTGTCGGTGCTTCCATGGAAGTTGATTTCGACCGCTGCCACCTACTTCCATGGAAGTTGCTTCCATGGAAGTTGTCGTGCTTCCATGGAAGTTGGCACAACTTCCATGGAAGTTGTAGCGACTCTGTCGAGCGACGAGCTTCCATGGAAGTCCGAAATCCTGCTTCCTTGGAAGCAAATCGTGGCTACTTCCATGGAAGCAGATTCACTTCCATGGAAGCTCGACGAGCTTCCATGGAAGCGTCATGGAAGCTGGCTGCCCGATCCAGACCAGCAGGTTCCATGGAAGTAAAATTGACTTCCATGGAAGCTCAGTCCATTTGTACAATAGTGTAGGTTTCCCCCTTTGGGTCGTACAAAGCACTAGAAACCACCCATTTCGCGACAGTGGTGCGCACACAACTCCGACTGTGTGTGTTACTGTGGGGCTCTGCCTTTTGATGCGTGCTGAATTTGTTGGTGACCTCAGAATGTTTCGTACTCGTAGTGCCAAAACAAGGCCAGGCGCCAGCGATCGAACTACCGCAAACCGTTCTCTGAACAAAACTGATGCTCTGTCGTCGTGTAGACTCATTACTAGTTATTGTTCGCATCATACTACCATGGTTTGGGACGGATCCCTCATTTACCTTTGCGCGGGAAGAGTGTGCAGTTAGCGCTCCACCACTCGAGCCGTTGCCGAGCTTTTGGTGGGAGTGGAGTATTGGAGCCCTTGCCGTCCACGCTCATGTTCGCCGCCGCCAGAGCCTCTGTGATGAGGTCCCTGGGAAACCCCCTGTTTGCGCCACCATAATACGGCACTGTTTTTGTCAAACAAACTTAGCAAGGTTTTTCAGAAATGGGCGATAGACATTAATGACTAGCGGTCTGGGCCGATAGTCTAGGGGTGTCTGGTAGCAACAGCACACGTGGGTGCGCACTTCTGGCCGGAAACCTGCTAGTGCTCGTGATATAAATAGTTGTCGAAAATCTGTAGTACTGTACGTAGGATTAAGTTACAACCTACAGCATACGTGTTTACTTAGAACTCACGACCGTTGGCCGGTCCTCATTTTGAAATGACCCAAGATGCCACCCACATCCTCCTTCAACCTCCGTTCCACTCAATGCCGAGCCCCGTCACACACCCCGTCTCGGCACCATCATATTATTTTGCGTTCCATGACGGCAGACATTCGTTCGTGTGATAAGCCAAAACCGAGGCATGTACCGACAAACGATACGTCTACGCTGGAACAATCAATAAGACATCCCAAAAGGGACATACGGAGCATTCATCACCATAGTTTGGCGGGGTCCACGGTGCCGTCGCGGATGCCCACGTCGTCGAAAAGGCACGACATCCAGCGGCATGCGAGGTCGGAAGACTGGTACCCAAGCGGACTCTCTGGGTCGCCATAGCGTTGTTCCTCGAATAGACGTTGCAGTTCCCTCGTAGCCTGTTGAGAGGAGAGGAAAGTCAAGTCCGAGGCGGCGCAGTGTGTCCATTAGTTGGAGGTAGTTCCCTCGATCGACTTGTAATAGCTTTGATCGGAACTAACCGCTCCGATATTAGTGGCCTGTTGTTACTTTCGATCGACAACTGATCGTAGGAGGACCGTGTAGTAGGCGATCAACGTGCGTGAGACGGACATCATCTGCCTGAGGCGCCCCACCAAGGAGGTTGTTATCCTTTCGACGACCTCGACGTCAGTTTAGCACACCACGACTTCGACCAACATAGGCCCTTCAAGTACATGTTTCGGAGGTGTCATGACTGATTCCAGGTCGATCTGTGATCAGTGCATCGGGTTATAAAGGCAGGCATGGGAAGAACTGAAAACATGAAGGAGGGGTGTAGTTTTGTAGGAGAACCGGGCTGTTTAATTTTTTGCCGCAACCTGTTTCCCCGGTTGTTGCTGCTGCTGCTGGTCCTGCTGGTGCAGTGCTCGGTCCCTAACCGAAGCTCAGACAGGTAGCAGCTGGTACGAACTGTAATGCAGTTGGTTGCTGCGCTGGCAACCACATGCTGCGTGGTAGCAAGCGTCTGTTGTAGTGATGCAGCCCAGCAGGATGCTGTTGTGTAATT